ATTGGTCAACAGTAGGAGGGGCCTACACAACATGATCGGTTGGAGGGACTACCTAACAACAGCGACAGGGGATTGAACTATGACGGCTTGCCCACAACGCCAGGGGCCAAAGCACAATTTATGACTCAACGAAATGGAGTCACTAAGGTGGCCGTCTTAGACAGGTGTTATTGCTTAGTGTGATAGGGGTTGTGTGTTGAAATAAGGTGGCCGCGGCCGCGTTGGACAGGTGCCCGTTTTACACAGTTAAATGATATAGAAAAAACGCAAGGGGGGAAATGGAAAGTGGCCGTTTGTACAGGTGGTCGTCTTATAGAGGTGGCCGTCAGGGCAGGTTCGACTGTACATTATTGCCTTTCACAGAGTAAACAGTAGGCATACTGACTTGATATGCGAAGTAGTTGTTACCTTTATAGACTTCTGTTTGGTTTTGAAGTACCTTTACTCTATGTGTCATTTTGTCATTAAATTTGTGAGAAGAGTTAATGAGTTGATTGCTGATTTTAACTATGGTTCTTGCATTGTTTGATAGGCTCTCAAGTTGAAAATTCAGCCTTTAATTTTATCAACAGCATAATTCATTCCCACTCTTAAGCTGCATATGTGCTTGTGTCAGATGAATCAGGGAGAGGGTGATAAGTAGTTTGTTTTTGCTGTTTTCTGTTTCATTGTGAGCCTAGATGCTTTCAAGCTGCACTTAGATTTTAAAAGCATCTTTCTCTTGCTTTCCTTTACATCATGTATGAAGTGCTGCATTTTGAATCTGTAGTTTCTCTACAAGAATTCTGTCAAAACTTTCTCATTCTCATAGATAGCTTATAAAAACAAGATTTAGCCTAGTACATTTTTGTCAGCATTACTTTTGTCCTAATTTGTTTCTTGAAAAGTCTAGGTGTTTTCATGACGACTTGTAAACTAAAATGCAGCTGACTTCAACTCTTTTTTGAAGGATGGTTAGCAGGTGGTCTGATGACTTTTGCCCCTTATTTCCATCTAATATCCTTATCTCTCCTACTTCTTTTCTCTATGTTACTCTCAAGTAGTAACAATTCTATTCTCCGTCACTTATATAACTTAATTGTGTTGCAAGTGCTGTAAAACTTGAACGAAACTTTTTCAGTGCTAAGATTGTCCTTCACCTTTCTGCGGGTGCCCCAGGACGTCCTCCGGGACCGGTCACTCAGAGTCCCCATGACTACATCAGGCTGTCTTTTCGGGAACTTGGCCAGCAAGAGGTCAGTTGTCGATCCCATTCACTGTTTTTTCGTTGAGGGTACTTTACTTTATTTGATAGCTATATAAATGCTATTGTTCCGCGCTATTTACTGATCGGCGTTGCGCGTTTTAACGATTGTGTAGTTGGGTTGCAATCTTAAGATTGCCCTGCGCGTTTAAACGATTGTATAATTGTATCATTCTTGTGAGCTCTTCAGTTTCATATGTTAATTTTAATTTTGATTTTAAACTTTGAGTTTGATACCCGGCATTGTTTTTTCGTATCATTCTTTTGAGCTCTTCAGTTTCAAACGTTAATTTAAATTTTCATATTTTTACACTTATGAAAATGTTCCTTGGTGTGAATAAAAGAATAAAGATGTAAGTGAATTTTCTAAAATAAGTATTTCAAAAATATAAAATAAATTAAATGTACTTTGTGAACTTTGAGTTTGATATCTGGCTTTGGATCATTCTTGTGAGCTGTTTAGTTTCATATGTTAATTTTTATCTTTATTTTCGTATTTTTACACTTTTGAAAGTAAATGTGAATGTTCCTTGATGTGGGTAAAAGCTAAAGATTGAAATGAATTTAGAAAAAGAAAATTATTTCAAAAATATAAAATATTAATGCAATCTTTAGATTTTCGCGCAATTAAACGATCGTTAAAATGTGCGGCACAATCTAAAGATTGCCGCGCAATTATACGATCGTTAAAACGCCTTAAGATTGCGCTGATCGGTAAATAGCGCGGAACACAATTACTGTTATTATTATTACTATTATTATTATTATTATCATCATGGGTTTAATGGTCCTGACAGCATTGTTTTAGAGGCAGGTCCACACCAATTTACATTCATCTCTTATTCCGATAGGATGTACGCAAGTGGATGGAAAGCCTTGTAAACTTTTCAAACATCAGAAAGTGGAGAAGGTCATCTTGGTAAAAAGATAAGATGATAATTGATATGGCAGTATTGTTTAAGTCTCAGCTGGAGTGCATGAACAGGTGCGGCTGTGTCCTGTTTTCACCTCTGTCCTTATATGTTATAGTTAATGTATGGCTTAGAAAATTTTTCCTTGTATGTGGTTGAGCTGGTTTTCTCGTTTATCATCATAGTTTATGTGAAATGTCGTATGTGTATATGACAGTATGAGGTTTTACTGTCAGTGATCATGTCTTTGATGAAAAGTGCCAAGACATTGCACTTGCATGGGATAGAGTGCTACATAAATGCAATCTATTATTATCATAATTATTGAAAATTATTTGCACCTTCCAGTTTTAATTTAATTTTACTTGTGCCCTCTGTTTTCAGTTTTACTTATATCCTCTATTTTACTTATATCTTCTGTTTTCAGTTTTACCTATACCCTCTATTTTACTTTTATCTTCTGTTTTCAGTTTTACTTTAAATTTACTTATACCCTCTATTTTACTTTTATCTTCTGTTTTCAGTTTTACTTATATCCTCTATTTTACTTATATCCTCTGTTTTCAGTTTTTACGAAGTCTAAAGGAAGAAATGAAGAAGAGAAGGTGGGAGGCACAGCCAGCAGCCACCCCTGCATCCAACAATTCTGGCCTGGTAAGTAATTGGTTTACGTCACACTTCACTCTCATTGCTTGTTTTGATGTCAAGAGCTCATCTGTCTAAAGATGTTGACTTCCATATTTGCCGCAGGATGGAAAGAAGTACGCATATCTACTGTTAACAGCTTCCCACGAGGTGCTTGCTTGTTCTTTCTGCAGATGCGGTTACTGAAATTATTTAGAATTTAGTGCAGAGGTTGTTGGTTGGTTAAAAAAACTTTTTGTTGTTGTCTTTTATGTATTTGTGTTTTGTGCCTATGAATAATCTTTGGCTTCTAATTCCATCTATGTAAAGCAGATAAAATAATTTTACAGAAGGATAGTTCTCCAAATTTTTTTTTCTCACCATCTTAGCGTTTCTTATCAATAATTGAGAGTATATGGATCAAAGATGATAATGTATAAATTTTAATTTTCCTTGTTCTCTTTTTTCCCCCCAGCTTCCCAGACAGAGGCCTGGTATTGTGGGCATAGAGAGATCCATTCAGCAAAAGAACAAAGAAACCAACAAGAACATTTCACAAGCTTTTCAGGATTTGAGAAATTTAATGGAAAAGGTATTATCTCATTTGCTATACGGCTCGGCGAAAGTGATTTCGCTACAGCAAGCCGCCCCCCTGCGGCTGGAGAACCGACCTATAATTTTTAGCTTAGATTTTATTCCAATCCACCTATCCATGTTAAGATAAAGGTTATACTATAACATTGACGTCTGGGCCAAGCGTTTCCACCGAAAATCAGAAGTTAAGATTCCGTTTTGAAACGGCGAATTCGAAGTTTATGCGACTTTGTTTTATCGCGCAGCCCAAATTATAGCCCAGACACCAGACTCAGTACTTTTACACAACAAAATGTATCATTACTTTGCTCACTAAAGAAATATAGGACTTTTCTTTAGAATATTACTATTGGACTCAAATTGCAATCGATATTTTTGGGTGAAATTACACAAAAAGTAACTCTCAGGACATGTGTAGGTTTATTCCAAATGAAATTCTGAATAATTCCATGTAAGATACAAGTGTTTTTTCTGTTTGTGAATGCATCTGTCCTTTTTTTTTCAAGATTATAAAATTTTTTAATTTTTTTTTCAATATCTGATGTTATGGTCCAAATGTACAAATTTTATGGAATGTTTGTAAATAACTGCAAATTTTTCAATATTTTCCAGTTCTATATTCATATATGGTTATTTTGATGTATCATTTGACTAGGTGCAAACATATTTTTGGGATTTCACCAAAGATTATTCTTTATTTATTTTCAAATTATATCCGCATCCAAGCAAAATTGTGTTGCATAATCGCCTCTTACAGGAACCAAAGTTGAAAAATACACAAATAAATATTACAGATGTGTGGCCCCAAAGACCTGTGAACTGCGCACTAGTCACCATCTCATTTCGCCCTCCCGAAAAAAAATTCGTCCAATAGCTGAAAATGATATGTAGTGAATGAGTTAAATATTCCACGTATTTGCATGAGCATTGCAACATTTTGATCATCTAATGTAGTTGTAAGCTCCATAAAACTGTTACCAAACGGAATGCATTGTTGTTGTAGATGGTTGATACAGATTTTTTAACAAACAATTGAAGGCCTCAGGGAGAGGGGGGAAATGGCATTGGTCATAGTAATTATACTGAGGACTACTGCCTTACTTCCACTTGTTCATATGGACTGCTGGCCTTCTTTTAACGACTGTTTTAAATAGGTCACTAATGTGTGACCCCAGCTGTTGCTGATAAAAACTGTATTGATGGACAAAATAGAAAAAGCTAAACATTTGGTAAAAAAAACAGGCAAAGCCAAATATTGTAAGTCATGACTTGGGTCATTTTCCTTCAGCACTCTTCAATTGGTTACATACATTGTTTTAGTAAATGTACAAATGTACTTTACATAGATTGTTTTAGTAAATGTACAAATTAAATGTACTTGAACATAGCAAGAAAAAGAAAGTAGGTTGTTGGGTTTTTTTATACAAATACAATCTTTGCTATCAATTGTTATTGTTATTAGCCTTGGCTTCAAGTGCCAAAGTTTTGTGAAAAGAATCAGTTCCCCTTTCCCGTCCTCTCTCCAGCTCTTCAATGTAGGTGCACAGACGCAGGCTAAACCTCTGTGTATCAGTGTCTGGGTTTTCTGTACAAGGGGGTGTTGGAATCTCATTGTATGATTACATTTGATGCTCCGAACCTTAACCCCCATCCCATCTCTGTATTTCCACAGGCTAAAGACATGGTTGGCCTGAGCAAGACAATCGCTACTAAAATCAAGGACAAGCAAGGCGAGATCACAGAGGATGAGGTTAGTTATCGTGGGAGGGTGGGTGTATTGTTGACCTTGCTGGGGATAGTGGTGGTCATTGGTGGATGAGCTGTGTTTAGACCAAATAGACTCATCGCAGTGCGAGGGCAAATAGTAAAGTGGTTCAACTTTGGAGATTGACTGTGATGCTGGGGTTATCATTGGAAGTAAATTTAATCACACATTAGTGACCTAATACACTGTCAGGATCAAATCTAAGACGCTGAGAAAACACCGATCTGAGCTGGGCAAACAGTGTCCATAGATATGTTATTATGTTATTTGGAGAGAGATATGTAGGCACTTTTGTGTCTGAACGGAACAGTGTATGCCCCATGACAGTTTGCCTTTGGTGGATCAGACAAGTGGGTCTGAAGAAGTGATTATTGCAGGGAGCAAAAGCAACATTTAATCTGTAAGTTCTGATTTGTTCTGATTTTGAAAATTTCTATTCAAAGTGTAGCATGTGTTTCACTGATATTGCTATTTACTTTTTTTTTGGTATCAAGAGAAATCTTGGAGATAATGGCTTGTGTTTGTGTTCTGTTTCATGTTGAGCTCACATCGACTGTGTAGTGTAAGACTGCGCCATAATACGCCAATTTACAAAGTGACGTACAGCGAAGTCTTGCACTGATCGGTAGATATGACTTCTACTCATCAGTCTGTGGTGGAGTCAATTGTAGTGTCCCTTCAAAGTCTATTGGTTACATTTATCTTTCTCTCTATCTTTTTTAAAACTTTACTCTTGTGTGATCGGCAGACGGTCAAGTTCAAATCCTATCTGCTGTCTATGGGTATCCCCAACCCAGTGACGCGAGAAACACATGGGACGGGCGACAAATACTACACGGAACTGGCACGTCAGCTGGCTTCAGTGTTGGCCAAACCTGTCGAGGTGAGTGGGTGTGGGGCTTGCTCCATCTTGACTCTCAAGCATTACGAGGAATGCCTGCCTTAGATGACAAATTTTCTCCTCGACAATGATTGGATGTGTTTTTCGCTAGATGTGGAGGGGAGGTGCAATTTTTGGTCTACGGCTAGGTGAATGGCTTCTGTTGTAGGTACGTTCTTCTGTTGGAGGACCTCTTTGACATCATCCAGCCAAGTTTTTCAAGGTCTAATCGTGCTTAGACATCAATTCTGCCTTTTTTTCTACCCTGATTCTATTATAATGGTGAGTGCTAAACAGAATGGCACCTTGTGCTTTTCTCCATTGTAATATATTCTGCTGTTGCATAGACACTGGACAATTTGAGGATGTCACTAATAGATCTTACTTTTTTTCTTTTCCTCTGCTGTTCATGTTTGTCTACCATCTGTTCTTTTTGCTCTAAATGATGGTTGGTGGTTGGCTGGTGCTCTGGTGTGGCTGGCTCTTTCTTTCATGCCAAACATCTATCATCTTTATCTCTCCTCTTTCTTGTCTTTGTTTGTTACTCTCAAGTAATGCCTCTAATCTTTGGAACTTATGTGACCTATTTGTGTGGCAAGTGCTGTAAAACTTTTGTTAAATCTAAAATAAATGTCTGTTACCCTACAGTTTGGCTTCTCTTTCCTCAAACTTTCCTACAGGACTGTGGGGGCATGATGACGATGACGGATGTCTACTGCCGCGTGAACCGAGCCAGGGGCATGGAGGTGAGGCAGTCTTTTCTCCTTTATGTCATACTTTGGAAAATCACAAGATAAGATAAGATAAAATGTGATAAGATTTCTCTACAGGCTTCTTACTAGTGTGAGAGGTTGGTGGGCTTTCTAGTATAGTCTACAGGTTCTACTTGGTTTCAGTGCTACTGTTATTATACAGTAGTCTCCGCCTAAACGCACAGTGCTCGGGAGGGCTTCTTAGCGTGTGTTTATACGGAGCATGTGTTTACATGAACCTTTGCAAAGGGAGGAAGGGACGCAGTCATCTCATTGCCTTGATATTCTAGTTATCTCCCTTTAGTCACTTTGGGCTGATAATGTGACGACACGTAACTGTTTTGTAAAAGATTCCCCGACTGCGGTTAAACTGCAAAGGCGTTGAATGGGTGTGTGTGTGTGGGGTGGGGGTGGGGGGAGAAGCAGAAAGACAGACTCAATGTAATGAATGCACCATAAAATGTCGGGAACCAATAGCCTAAACAGAAATTGTTGCTGATAGTCGTAGAGATGACAGCCCTGCCACGTGGCTTTCCAAGTGCCTCCCCCCGACCGTAAATTCATGAACGAGCATTCACGCGTGTTGCGCATCATAGGCTTAGGTCTAATTAAACATTAACCAACATGCAGTCACTCAAACACCAGTCAGAAACTTTCTCTCAAAGAGATGCTTTTCCAGTGACCAATCAAATAACGTTTCAGTCCCCCAACCCCCCAACATTTCACCGACCAGTCCTAGACCTATGTGTCTGTGGAAAGTTGGGTGTGAAAATGCTGTCCATCACTCTCTTTGTTCGGCGTAAGGGGCAGTCTCGCCAAATATCCGGTTTTCTATGTTTGTCTTATGCAAGCTGTGCAGATCGTACAGTAGTCGTAGTAAAAATTTCCCTTTGTCAAGCTTTACCTGTCAGCGTGTTGCGCAGATCGGAGCGTGCGTTTAGAGGGAGTGACCGTGCGTTTGTACGTCTGAATTATATAATAAAAAACCCGTCAAATGACGAAAGCGTACGTTTGAGCCGAGCGTGCTTTTGTATGGCGTGCGTTTAGGCGGAGACTACTGTAGTCACCTGTTCATGGGGGAAAGGTGACCCTTAAATTAAAGATGTGGGTGGTTAGTGGGCACTGTGGTGTTGTTTGCTTCTCTTTTATTGAGTTGAAAGAACCGTAAAACTCTTACTAAAACTAGATAGAAAATAAGATTATGTTGTGACTCATTTACATCAGCTCAAAAAACAATGACATCATCAACCTCAGCAACTTTTCCTCTAGATAGTGTGTGCATACCACTGAATGGTCCTTCATCTTACTGGTCAGTCTAGCTTTTCATGTCTGTCATGGTCTCGTCTTTTTTCTTTCATTCACGCTTTCTGATGGGAACTCAAAATCATTTGGTTTAGGAACCAAAAAAGTTGATTTGATCACAGATTTACTTGAACTCTTTTTTTCATTTCTGCAGTTGTTGTCACCCGAAGATTTGCTGCACGCCTGTGAGCTGATGGAGATGTTAGCTTTGCCTCTTAGGTCAGTCAGTCTTCTGGTTTGTCTGTATCCATCCTACTAGGGGAAATAATTCATACAAGGAATATTTTAATCAATAAACAGCATGTTTTGGTATAAATAACAAGATTTAATTTCTGTATCATTCACAAATGGGCTCTAAAACTGCGTCTTAATAATAAGCAGCATTTGTATAGCGAACATTTTCTGCACAACTGTTTTACATTCTGTGATAGAGTTTTTTGTTGATCTCAGTCTTCTACCAAGAGCAATAATTCATTAAAGCTGGTACTTGCACATTCTGTGAAGTTTGATTTGATAGTGTGACTTAATATAATAACAAAGTTTGTCTTTCTTGAAATTAAACGTGTTTTCATTATCATGGGTTGATAACTTGTCAGTTTTCAAGAGAAAGAAGGAATTTACAGTAATCTGCTATAACTCCAGAGTAGACAAAAAGACTGTGTTAACCATTTGAAAGGAAATTTGGCTGACATTTCTTTATCTAGGGGTTTGTGATCCCTAAGGTAAGTCTAAAAGTGTCCCTACCAGAATGTTACCATTCTCTGAAAAAGACGGCGTAGCTTTGATTGCAACAAAAAAGCCTGACTTATTAATTGAAAATTTGTATTGTTAGCAAAGTGGATACAGGTTGTAATATCGCTGTTCATGGATTTGTTGAAAACAAAATTCTGTTCTTATTGTCATCATTGCAGCCAATATTACTTTGTCAGAGATCATGACAAACGTTTTGTTTTTTCCTTCTCCCCTGTGTGCTGCAGACTGAGGACTTTTGACAGTGGTGTGTCCGTGCTGCAGGCTCGCAGCCAGGACGAGGAGGAGATTGTGTCAAAGACGAGCAGCACGGTGAGTTGGTGTCCCACACCTGGCCGTGAATGTGTGTGGGGGTGTGTGCGTGTGCATGTGTGTGGGGGTGTGTGCGTGTGCATGTGTGTGGGGGTGTGTGCGTGTGTATGTGTGTGGGGGTGTGTGCGTTTGCATGTGTGTAGGGGTGTGTGTGTGCGTATGCATGTGTGTGGGGGTGTGTGCGTTTGCATGTGTATGGGGGTGTGTGTTCGTGTGCACACACATGCACCAGTGAACGTGTTACAAATATTGATAGACCAAGTTCCGGTTTAGAGCTCAATGTGCGCGAAAAAAGTCACATTAGGTCTAGAATGCAGATTTTGCAAAAAACTAAACGTTTATTTATAATTTTCTAACCATAGGTGGGAAGGATACATGAGCAACTTCTGTATTTCTTACTGGCAATATAGTATATAGATTGAATGTTGCTGTAAATACCATGCTGTTACTCCCTTTTTGTTTGATGTTTCAGATACAAGACAAAGGTCCACTGACCGCAGAGCAGCTGGCTCAGATACTTGGCTTGTCCGTGATACTGGCCAGAGAGAGGTGAGTCCAGTTTGTGCATTGAGGTCAGAAATCCACACTTTTTCCTAGGTTCCTTGTTCCATTTAAGGAAGGACATGGTGAGAGGCTACAATTCGTTTCCTGCTCTTTATGGATGGGGTCGTGTGAATGTCTTGCCGCCAGGAAAATAGTGTCTAGCATACATATAACTGTTCCCGTAGTTTTATGCACCCGCATAATTTAGCAAAATTTGATCTATTTTGCATAATTTCTGATTATTTTCCATTATCTTTCTTTGTTAAAATAAACAGAATCGCATAATTTCACATTTTTGGGCTCAGTTTGCTTAATTTCAGAATTTTTCTTGCATAAAATGACGGGGACAGACATAACAAACGCACACAAAGCAAACAAGCACATAACGAAGCATACTCTTATCAAACAGATTTTCAGGTTCCGAATTTTTGCTTACGCGTATTAACATTCTTTGTCTTTCGAACACATGCATAGTGAAATTTGTAGGCCCCCTACTTAACAAAAAGTTTTCCGTGTCGTACTGATTTGGCCACGTGTGTGCTAGACTGTATGTGGCTTGTGGCTGTAAGTGCCGACGGGAAAGTACAGGTGGACTACTTTGTGTAAGACTCTGCCAGAGGCGGCTCTCGTGGCCTAGAGGTTAAGGTGTTGGCCTCTCGTTCAAAGGTCCCGCGTTCGAATCCGTGTAGCGACCAAAAAATTTTCTTTTCTAAAATTGTCTCCTTTCACTCTCCTCCCCCCCCCCCCCCCCCCCCCCCCCCCTTCCCTCCTGCTCTCTCGCAATGTTCTGTCGTTTGCTTTCATCTCCTCTTTCTGCCCCCACCCCCTCACCTCCTTCGCCCCCTCCTCTGGTCTCTTGACTCTTTCAGCAGCCTTTCTACTGCTATTCCTTGGTTCCTTCTTACTGCTGTCTTTCAGACACACCCCTGATTTTCTGGTAGGAAAAATCTACATCTAGCTTTCTCGGACAAGGGAGAAAAATCTCGGAGGGCCAGTGTGCAAGTTGTGCACGTTAAAGATCCCTTGGTGATCTAAAATCGATAAGAGTAGGCTTCTGCCGCCGCCACACGGGCAAAATTCAAAATTTCCTACCAACCGAAAAAGTTTAATGTGTCCCGTGGGCTCATATGCAGTTGCAAGCGCCGTAAAACACACAAAAAAAATTTTTTATTTTTAAACTCTGCCAGGCGCCGTTGTGAAAAATAAGGAATGATGGAGTGGTATACTGAGTAGTGGAGCTGTATTCTGCTGGCGGACGACACCAATCCAAACGCCTACTCATATGTCTCATGAAGTGTGATCCATTTGTCCGCAATGTATAAAAAGATCCATGCAAAAACAAAACGACAGTGTTTTTCTGCTTTAATTTATTCTTTTTTTTTTTTTCATTTTCCTCCGCAGACTTTTGCTGACAGAGAAGATGGGAGGAGTCTGCCGAGATGAGACAGTCGAGGGCTTGAAATTTTACCCCAATCTTTTCCTCACCGCTGGCTCTTGAAGTTGATACGATTGATTGTCTCTATGTTGTTTTTTGTATGTAGAAGTTTGTTCACCTAAGCTATGATTTGATTGTCTCTTTTGTTTTTTTATGGAAAAGTTTGTTAGTTGTTTTTGTATGTAGAAGTTTATTCACCTAAGCCATTATTTTTTTTATCAATTGGCTAAAAACAGTACCCGGACATGGATGGCTGGCGCCTCTATAAATAAATCATTGATGGTCAGGTTTTATTGTCAGTGCTGTCTCCTAGTTTTTTTGCGGTAATGGATCACGCTGCCCCTGTTGGTTTTTATTTATATATATATATATATATATATATATATATTATATATATAAGAAGTACTTAGTCTCGGACACTGACCAGGTAGTTAGAGATTTTTATGGTAAGCAAAATGCAGACAAATAAGAGATTTTGTCTGTCTCTCATAGTATGACTGTATGTCATAATATCAGATATTGTCAATGTGCTGCAATATAAATACAAATACGTTTTTGCAGTTTTTAGAAAATCCTAAGAAACAAAAACTTCCCTAATTTTCTTATTTTTTTCTAGGTTGTGCCATGATCATAATTTGGAGATTTTTGGGGGGGGCTTTTTTACTTAATTTTCTGGCTTGGTAATTGGTCAACTTAGCAGCAAATGGTAGATTGATTTTGTCTTTATTCTGACGTAGGACATTATTGTAACTTACGATATCAGAAGATTAATGTTGAAAATAATACATTTGGAGAAATTATTATAATCTATATTATTTCCATCTCCATTTCTCCTTCCCTTACCCAGGCCCTACCACATATATGTATATATATTATTTCCTTCACGAGTTCTCCTTCCCCCAGGCCCTGCCACATATATATATATTATTTCCCTCTCAGGGCGTCAGTCACCTCAAACCTAGTCACGGTGGGTGGTTGGCGGGTGCTCTGATGTGGTTTGCTTCTTCTTTCCTATCAAACATCTATCGTCCTTATCTCCCCTCCTTCTTTTTTATGTTTGTTACTCTCTTGTAACACCTCTAATCTTCTGGCGCTCCTATGACCTTATGCAGTTGCGAGCGCCGTAAAACCTCTACTACTAAACCTAGTCAAGTATTTCTACAATGTTCTGTCCAATTGTCTCTGAAAAATGTTATTGTTATGTACCTGTTATCCTCTAAAACTTCCAAGAAAATCAGAAAACAAATTTGTTTAATAACTGTCAAAAAATTTTTTGGCTGAGGTCCTGGTATAATATAGGCCAGAGGGGAGCCAAGACTAAAAATAGCCAGATGCTGTAAGGGTGAATTTAGAGTTGCTGTAAGGGTTAATTTAGAGTCGCTGTAAGGGTTAATCTAGTGTCATTGTAAGGGTTAATCTATTGACACTGTCGTATCCTCTGAGTGAGTAGATCGTTTTGCCCGGGTTAACGCCTGCTTTTCAACATCTCTTAGAGTATCATTGAAGAATAAGAGTGGGTGGTTGGCAGGTACTCTGGTGTGGTTTGCTCCTTCTTTCCTATCAAACATCTATCGTCCTTATCTCCCCTTGTTCTTTTTTGTGTTTGTTACTCTCTTGTGGCACCTCTAATTTTCTTGCGCTCATATGACCTTATGCAGTTGTGAGCGCCGTAAAACCTCTATTAAGACTAAACTAAGAAGAATGAGAGGACTGCTTCAAATATGCGTGGGATAATATGACTTCTAGTCTATCGATGAAAAATCTCCTTCCGTTCAATAATGTTTTTCAGGGCAAAACGTTAGAAAGTTGTATATATTCACAACATCTCTATGGCTTGCTATATATTTTTTTACTCCTTATAAATTGTTTTCATTATACAGATAATGTGCAATGGTTTTTTTAATTGTGAAAGTAAATAAAATAACTAGGGATTAAATCTGCATAAATTAGCAAGTGAATCATTTTTTATTTTACGACCTGCAATGAGATTAATTACATTAGACAGTAAGAGAGTGTTTGCAAGAATTTCCTTTTTTTTTTTTGTTTGGGGGTGGGGGGGGGGGAGTTAAGGACGTGTTAAAGAAGCCGGCTTGTCACTTCAGGCAGGGGGAACTGAAATGATTAAGTTCTGCCACCCTTAGGAGACGAGAGAAATCTGCCACCCTTAGGAGTAGGAGACATAAGAAAAGCAAAAGTTAATCAAAAGGTGCTGATTAAGTAAAACTGCATTTTCTTTGAGCGTCATGCCATGCCATATAGATGAATGTACATTGTATATGTATTCTCTGACAAACATTTGCCTAACTGTTGTTATGTGTGTGGTGTGTGTGTGTGTGTGTGTGTGTGTGTGTGTGTGTGTGTGTGTGTGTGTGTGTGTGTGTGTGTTTTCACACACACACCCTAAGAGAAGGCAATGTTTTCTAGCTATGTATCTGGTACAACTTAGAGTGGTGAACAGATGTAGAGACAAAAGTCAGAACTAGTGTAGAGAATGTCAGTGTTATTTTGTTCTCTTTGACAAGATAAGGAAGTTGCAAACGTTTCTGTTTGTTTAAGTACTTCTGTATATTATAACTACTGTTGATTTGTATTCTTTATTGATTGCTAATGAACCAATTTGTTTATTTGATCTGCATGGTATGGCTGCGAAGAATATTTGTCTTTGACTGAGTTTCCGCAAATTCCTCGGCATCATGTACAGAGATCACATAGCTAGTGAGGTAGATCTAGTGAGAACCAGAATTGGAAACGCCATCAGGCGGTATGAAAACTTGAGTTCAGTGAAAAGATACAGACTGAAGTGGTATGGGCACATCACCCGATCATCTGGACTGGTCAAGACTATCCTACCTGGAAGAGCACAAGGAGGGAAACAAAGAGGCAGACTGAGGAAATGGTGGGAAGACAACATGAAAGAACTGACTGACTGTGACTGGAACATGATACTACGAGATAGCATTTGCATAAAGCGCATATTCCCACTCAACAGCAAATTGTCTGTGCTCTACACAGTCTGTCTTATTGCCCCAGCTGACGTCTCACAACTGAGGGCTGAGAAACATAAATAAAGAGTGGAAGAAGCTGGTGACAAAACCTCGTGGTTCCCCAGCGGTCTGCTAGTGCTAGACTAGGGGTTAGGTCAAGGTCAAGGTGTGGCTGTGAAGGGTAATTGTCGTTGTTTGATCCCTCGAACATTAAACTGACGATGACAAACTGAGTCTTGAGTTCTGATTTTTGGTGGGGATTTTCTTTAACTTCATTTTCATGACGATCATTATTTTTATAATTTGCAATTGATTTGGTGGTTTGTGGGCACTGTGGTGTGAATCGCTCATTCTTTGCCTTTCAAACATCTCTCTTCCTTAAATATATTTCTCCTCCTTTTTTATACATTACTATTTAGTAACACCTCTAATTTGTGGCACTTACTCAAACAACAGTGTTGCAAGTGAACTTTTACCAGACCTTAAAACAAAACAAAAAAGATTTTTATGTTAAACTGAAACAACTATTGAAAAGAAATGATGCCATGGACTCTCACCTTTTTCACCACCGTACTACGTTGAAAAGGACATTTTACAATACCATACTTTGCCACAGGGTGGAGACTCTACCTTCAACATGAAGTATATATTCTAAGGCAGAGGTTGCCAACTCAAATAACCCTGGATGG